AAATATTTTGAGCTTAGGAATTAACATGAGTATTCAGTGTCAGTTTAGCTTAACAGCAATCAACACAAAAAAATTAAATTTGTTTATGATACTAATGTGAATGTGTATATTTGAAAATATTTTTGCATATAAATAAGTTTGTTGTTTATTCACATTTTTTAATCTTATTTCTCCTCAGAGATTAGTAAATTTTGTACTATTTTATTTCTGTTTTAAGTTTCAAATGTTATATGTTTATCTTTAATATCTCATTAAATGAAGGGTAATAGGTAAGAAAAAAATCAAGGAAAACTAGTTTTCTGTTAATACATTCTCAAATGAAGTCTTATATGTGACATTTGTGGTTGGGATTTTTTAATCCAAAGTAGCCACATAAAATTTATTTGTGGTACTTTATATAAATGGATGCATGATTCATATGTCTTTCAACATATTTTTTATCAGGAATTAATTGTAAATATTTATTTAGCATCAATCAACAAACACATATATTTCATAGGTTTTGTATTTCTTAAACCAGTCCTGATATTTGTTTTTTTTCTTTTCTCTTAAAGGTTTATAGGAGGCTGATTCATTTAGTCTTTTTCTTTATTATATCTCTTTTTCAATAATTTTTTTGTGAATATTCTTCAAGGTCAAATGACAAGTTTTTGAGCTGAAATATTTTCCTACTATTTTCTCCCAACTGTGCAGTACTGTAGTATGTAGTCTGAATGCATATTTATTGCAGTATCATCTGAGTAGAGTTTGATTTTAATAATTGTTATTCTGAAATTTTTTATCTTAAAAATAATCTTTCTATACACATTCATGTCTTGATATAAAGCCATGTAAGCAGTTATTATTTTTCTTTTATATCATGTTGATTAAAATAGCTTCTAAGGGGATCATTAAATATTATTTAAATTTATTTAATGTTGATCAAACATGAAACAGAAAATGGTTCACATAAGAAAGAAAATACAGAAGAGAGACTTCTTTGATATTTTTTCTTTTTGCAAATCAATACAAAATCCATTTTTTTGATCTTTTTATGACTGCTAAGAATCAAAGTTTATAGCAAAGTTATTTTTTTCTCTAAAATTAGTAATGTTTGAATGTTAGTATTTATATTTGGTTCAGTTATATGTTACTTTCAATTATTGATTTCAAGATTAAAAACAAAATTCAATTATTCCAATTATACTAAAACATAAAAAGTTATATATAGAATTTAATGAAAAATGCACAACTAATTTATCAGTTTTCATTGCATATGTGTACACAGTGGTACACATAAAGAAATTGATTATATAGCATAGATATAAGATTTGTAATTAAAGCTTGTTGATTCTCACTGGATTGTCTTGTTTTCAGGATATTTAATTGTATATGGTACCAACTTAGGAAGTTTAGCAAATATATTTATGAGAGCAACAAAAAAAAAGAAAAAAGGTAAAAATCTACAGAGAATTCTATGGAAATACTCATGAGTATCAAGTAATAAACAGTAATCTTGAAGTTTTTAAATTTCTAGGATTGAAATTTTTTTTTTTTTACATATATATATTTTGAACTATATCTTAAAATAATATTAATACTAGTGTACGTAAATAAAAAAGATGGTAACTTATCAGGTAGTAGGGATGAAACTTACAGCAGTATTGTTGTATTTAAATAAGTGCAGCTGGAAAGTTTCTGTGAACTAAATGGTAAGGTAACTGCCATGTTAAGATAAGCTTCCTGAAGAACAGGGATGTGAGTTTGTCTTTGCCAGATGCTTCTTTATTTCTAGTCTGCACTGTTTACTAGTGACTGTAGAAAGATAATAGGAAGGTAACAGAAATTAAGGTGAAAGAAATCTCAATTGAAAAATTAATAATGTAAATATGTTTAATAAAATATATTTCAATCAGTAACTTTATTGTCTCTCCTTAAATTCATTGTTTTACAATACTTTCATTATTTTAATTTTTTTTGGGCTTCATGTAACTTTTCTTAAAGACTAAATAGCAGTCAAAATAAAGTAGCAGGTTGTTGCTAATTATTGTATCAATAATTCAAAACTATTTCAAATTGCTTTCATTGGTTATTTCATTAAATAATTTATAATTGAAGCATGTATACAGATTTCAAAAACAATGGCTTCAATTTGGAAACCTGGTATGTCTCCAGTACAATTCTTGATTTATTTCTCTTCCTTAATTGTCATCCGAATCCACAAGGTAGCTTCTACCTCTTTGGATTCTAATCTATATGATATTTCACACAGCAGCTGTGGCTTGCAGTTGATTCCATTTTTAAGCCAGCCAGTTTTGAATATTATTTGGAAATCTTCCATGATAATTATTGGACATGCATCAGGGGAAAAAATCAATACTCTCTTGAAAGATACCTTGTATCCAATTCTGCCTTGTGACTACCTTGTTCATAACTTGTTGAATTTACTGTCAATACACATATGCCAAGGTATACACATTTTTGTGTTTGCTTTGCTGCTTGCTTCTGATATGCACATTAAAAAGAACATTAAAAATAAAAAAATAAAAGCACATGAAGAAACCAATCAGCAGACTTTTGGCATTTTTTGTCTATTTTACATTTATTTACATTTTATTATTTATTATAGAAATTCTTCTTTATACTATCATGTCAATATATGATCAGAGATCAAACACTTAGACTTCCTGAAGATATAAACAGAAGTCATTCTATCTTCTGTCGTTTTTCATATAAGAATTTTTTCTTCATCTTGTATTCTAACTATATATTTGACCAAACTTTGTTCTCCTTACAAGTTCATAATTAAATTTATGATCATTATCTGTTTGGTTATCCATTAACAAAAAGAACCTTTGAATTAAAAGAAAGATTATTTGAGCTATGTGGTCTTTTTTTTTTTTTAAATTAATTACAGAATATCTACACTACATTGGGGATTCCGGATTTTGCACATGTTTTTTTTTCTTTTGGTCTTGGATTTTTATTGTTTTTAGTTTTCATATATTTTGTGTAAAGGGGACAAGATTCATCTGAAGTGATTATTGATTATTTGGAGAAATAACTTAATGCCATTGCTGATTTTTAGAGGAGTGAACTTGGATGTTGTTTTACTTCTTATATTGAGATTAATACCAATTCTTTCAGATAGATATGCAACATTTTTAAAGCATTACTATCAATCAAAGAGACTGGCAAATATCAAATTACAGTCAAATGAGTTGTTTTTGAATAAGTAGCCATCTTGATGAGACTAGAAAACTTGAAATAAACAAAGGAATCTTAAGCAGCTTTAAAGATAAGATTCATTAAACAATGTCTCTGGGCAGATGCTGACTCTTCAAATTTATCTCTTTAATGTCTGAAACTTCTTTTGTTTTTGGTCAAATAAAGAAACAATGGAAAATATAATTGTCCATTTAAACAAAACTTTCCTCCCTCTTTCACGCCTGTGTGTGTATGTGTATGTATATGTTGGGTGTATGTGTGTATCTTGTGTGTGTGAACAACCCCCTCAAAAAAATAGTTGGGGACAAACACACACGCACACTTAAATGAAACACTGAGCTTAAAACAGTCACATATCTCATGCTGTTCATTTGACCTAGTTTTAAGGACTGATAAGAATCGCTGATGTGAATTGTGATGATACGATTTTATTTTCTTATTTTTTATAGATTACTTTGGTGTTTCAAGAATTTATTATAAAAATAATGCTTAAAAGTAGGTGATGAAAGTAGCAAGACTGAAAAAAAGGTTTACTAAACATAACATAAGTTACTTTTTTTCTTTTCTTTTACAATTTAAAAAAAATCTTCTGAAATAATGTAGTCATTGTCTCCCCATTTTGGGGGGTTAATTTTAAATACGAATAATTCCTATATTTTTCATTTATTTTAAGAAATTGATGCTTACTTTCAATGATTTACTTGCCCAACAGCTAAATATTCCTATTTTAAATCATTTTAAATTTATTTAACGGTTGTTTTAGTGAATTTACAATTTTCTGGCAACCTTAAAGGCAAATTTTCTGACTGTTTCATAAATTAACCATCAATGCTGGTGGCTGGGACTCTTATTCTTCACCGAATTCAAGCAATTTTAGAGGAAGTGTGTGTGGGTGAGTTTGATTTAAAGAAAAAAGAAAGAAAAGAAACGTAACAAACAAACAAAACAGTGGGTGTAGAAGAAAGTATGAGTAACCCAGGTGCAGAATAGAAGTGGGTAGGGAAACATTGTATTTTTTTTTATTTTATGACTGATGATTAAACAATTCACTTAAAAATTCCAGTGAATATATTTTTTTTATTTTTCTAATTTTTTCTCATCACTAAATATCTTTTTATTTTACCCTGGCTTTGATTTTTTTTAATGTTTTTTTTTTTTATTGAAAGTTATTTTTTTAACTTGAGAAACTCTCTCACACGCATATAGGACGAAACGCATCACACGAAAACTTTTTTCCACTTTGTCAGTTTTTTCTTGAAATTCTTCTTGATATATGAAAAAAATTTATATATCGTTTTCCAATAGTAAATTTTATAAAATTAAAAACCAAAATTGGTGAAAAAATACCTGGAAGAGGTGATGTCCTCATGTTGGATTTTAACAGACCAAGCCAATACTTTCTACATATTTGTAAGTTTTTTTTTTTTTAGTTTTTTTTTAGTTTTTTTTTTATGCTTAGATATGACTTTTTTGTCAAATTATTTTTTGTATTTTTTCTAAAAGAAAACAAAATAATTGAAAAATTGCATTGAAAGTTAAACATTTTTTAATTTACAATATGAGATAATTTTTTAAAAAAAACTACAAAAGCTACAGGAATTACTATATATTTCCTGCAATTGTGTAAGACATAAAACATATAAAAGCCAAAATCTTTGTGATATACATTTTGAATTTGTGATGCTGTTAAATTGCTCTTTTCTCTGATTCATTGATGTCTAGAACAATCAAATGGATTTTGTATTTCTGCTTGAAGCAGTCTATTGATTTTGTTTTGCTTTCTTTCCTTGCAGATGCCACAGACGCCTGACAAGGCAAAAACGCCAACAGATCGGAAGCGGAAACGAAAAAATACTGTAGATAATAATTGTGAAGCAGGTAAGTGCTTTTACCTTTTCCTCTTCTATCACATGACTTACCTTTCTGAAAAAAAAAATTAAAAAGATAGCCCTTAATTTTTATGCATTATTTTTATTTTTTAATCATAACTTTTGCATAACTTTAGATTTCCAAATAATTTTTTAATTCATTTCATGTATGTAAATTATAATTAACTTATAAAGCTAGGAAAGAAATTCAACTCATGATATTGTTTTTTTTTTTTCCTTACCTGAAGGAATAAATTTTGTTAATGTATTGTAAGCAACTCTTTTCATAGCTACAAATGAAACAAGCCTAAATATTTTTAAAAGGTAGACAACCCTTGAGATGTAATCCTTCTAGAGACTTGTTTTAGGGTTGTTTACAATATGAACTTTGATGATTATAATTTTATTTTTAAGCATATATTGTGCTTGGTTAAGCCTCAAGTGATTAAGACTGGATTGTCATAAGTAAAAATTAGCATCTTTGCTTTTATGTATTTCTCTATAGTTTTAGCTAAAAAAAAAGTTTTAGGTTTTATTGCAAAGATCTTTTTCTTTGATGCAACAGTTTGGAATAATTTTTGAAAAATATGCTCAATATATTTTCTTCATTAGTGTTTTTTGTTTAGCCATTTTTTTTTGAAAATGTGTACTTTTTCTTTTCTTTTTTTAAACTTTTTTTATTAGTCATGTCATACATAGGTTTTAATAATTAGTGTGTTAATAATAAAAGTATAACTGCGATTAATTTAATTAAAAAAATTTTCTTTAGACAAAACTTCTTTATATATTCTGGCAGATCCATTCTTTGGCATCCATCAGATGTATATTGTGTAAGATAAAGAAAGAGGGAGAGAAAACACTTACTTCAGAAAAATAGCAACAAAAAAAGTGGTCATATTAATTTTTGCTCTTGTGAATTATACAACTGGCAAAGGCTAAAAAATCACACAGCCAAAATATTAAAAAACAATTCATGGAGTTCATTTATGCAAACAAAATTTGTAATGTTAATGGTTCTTCTCAGTTACAGACATCAACTAGTTTATTCTTTTATGTTTTTTTTATACTTTAGTTCACTCAATACAAGGTTCAAGGTCCACTCAAGGTAAAGGGTTACTGAGTGAGGTTATTGTAGGGAAGGAGGAGGGGGTGCATATTATGAGGCTATGTCGAGTAGATATTGGTTAACCCTAGACTTGAAGATGCTAACATTGTAGGGATCAGGGAAGCATCCACTTAAGAGTCTGTTTCATAAAGTAACAGTTCAGGAGAAGAAACTGTCCAAGTGGAACTTACTCCTTACCAAAGAAATATGAAGGAAAGGGGGAAGATTTGACATTGTGTATGTGGCATGGTGGGTCCTAGCTGTGAAGGTTTGAATTAAGAAATGTATCCAGTTTAAACATTTGTCATAGTGATAATGATAAAATATTTTGTCTGTGGGATAAGGGCAGTATGGTTGAAAATAATTCATATCACTCACAAGGTTGCACAATCACTTTTCAATCTGGTCAAGATTTATGAATGAAAAAAGGATAAAAAAAAAACAAAAAAAAAAAAACTAATCTTTTAAGATTAATCTTGATTATGGTAAAATACTTTTTAATGTATTGATATATTTGAAAGTTATGTTAAAATATTCAATCAGCATTGTATCTAGTCACTTCTGAACAGTTGATCATTTGAGATAATTACATATACTTAGTATTTGGGGGATTTTTCAACTTGATAATAAAAATTAATCAACAACATTCTTTTTGGCTCTTTGTAAGTTGCTAAATGCAGTGTGGTTATGTAACTTTGGAATTGTTTTCTTTGTGTAGGCTGCCCTTAAAAAATGTTATTTGTTTGTCATAACAAAAGTTAGAAAAACATTGGATGATAATTATATAAAATGTACTAACATTATAGTAACACAACAATATTTGCAATATGTAAAAAAATGGAAAAAATCTTTATAAAAGTGATATCTGATGTAATATCAAAATTTGTCTTTTTTTATTCATCCATACTTCAACTACTTTATGACACACTCATAAATTAGTCTTACATAAAATACATAGCATGACATGTTTTGTACATTACAAAGTAATGGATGCTGACTTATACACACACACACGTATATACTTGCATATCATGTGACTTTTGAAGACCTAATTTTAAAAGTGTCACATTATAAACAAGATATAGAATTAGTGTATGTACTGCTGGCCATGGCTATGCTGTTGACCAAAATATATGTCCATTTACTGTAGTCAAATGGTACAGCTGTGTTTAAAATAAACATGATTTTGATAAAACTGGTGTTTTACTTACCTGTCTCTAATAATGATGCATGTAATATTCACTTTTTAGTAATGTATCATAAAATACAAACATAGTGAATATGCTATGCATCTTTTCCATTGTTTACGTTTATAAGATGTTTAGCTGTTTCTCATTTGGTTGTTTATGGCTGCTTGTGTTTATGCGTTACTAGTGATACTTTTATCATTCTTTTTATTTTTTTAACTTATTTAACTAGAAGATGAGATAGAGGGAAAGAGGTTAGTCTATTGTAATTTGGTCTCTCTCTCTCTCAAAAAAAAAAAAGGAACTCACATGATACACAAGATACATAATAAAATCATTTTTTATAAGTAAAAATTTTGGGGTTGCATGATTTGCAGGATCAAGCTTTACGCGAGTGTGTGTGTGTGTGTGTGTGTGTATATATATATATATATATATATATATATATATATATATATATATATAAATAAATCAAGATGAAGGAAAGAGTTATGACAAAATGGAAGAAGTTGTGTGATGCATTTTGTTCTTTAGGGCTTCATTGGACATGTTGGTGCAACTACACGTGCATGAATGAGATACACTGGGAATTTTAAATTTAAAAATAAAATGTCTGTGTGTGTTTTTCGGTATATTATCTAGCCAATTTCATTTAGATTCTTTTTCTTTTAGTTTGTTTCCATCACTTTTGTTATTAAATATTGCACACTGTGATAATAGAAGATCTGCTAAAAATGGTGAAACATTGTAAGAACCTAGACACAAATTTTTCTGTGGATGATTTTGTGATTAAAGCACTTTGTAAACATTTTTGTCTTAGTGAATTGCTTTCTCTTTTAATTAGAGCAGCTTTTTTATATCAAAATTGTGGTCTGTCTCAATAGAACTAATGCATTTAATGTGTTGTTTTGTAAAATATCGCTTTTGTGTTCATATAACCTTTTATTTAAATTTCTTGAAGTTTCTCTGATGTATTCTTTAAAAGACTAATCAATACAAAGCAAAACAATAAGCTGTTATAAGTTGTTATTAATTTCATTATTTAAGAAAATAAAAAATATTGATAGAAACTCCAACATGTGTACCTATTAAAAATAATGTTTATAGTAATAAGTGTGTGTGTGTAATGGATTTTTTTATTTATTAATCTGACGTCTTTCGAGAGTCTATGATGAGAAGGATTCCATTTGAAGGCACTATTCAGCTTTGCTTGATTACAAAAGTTCTTGATTGCTGTGTCAATCTAAAGCACTTTGGATTTACTAATAATTCCTTCTGCCCTAGGGTTTGCAGGTTTGAATCCTGCCAGAAGGTGCATATTTTTCTTTAATAAGATTTCTCAAATATTCAGCCTAGTAGGAGAAAATAAATATACTGTTAATAAATAAATAGTGTCTATTCAAATGTGAGCATCCACTAAAAATAATGTTTAAAGTGTGTGTGTATTTGTGTGCATAGCAACAGTGTTCCTAATTTTCATCAACAACTTTCTTGATGTCATCAGTTCTCAACTTACCATCTATGCTGATGATACAACTATTTACTTAATAGTAAGTCTGATCACTTCAATAAGATCAAATCGGCAGCTGATCTCAAAAATGATCTACAGTCTGTTGTTAACTGGAGCAAGGAATGGCTTGTTAATTTTAATGCCTCCAAAACAAAACTGCTCTCTTTTAATCCCTTGAGAGAACACTTTTTGCTTTCCATTTGCTTGGCTGATTCTAACCTCAAGGTGAGTCATGTGTTGCCCTTCTTGGGCTAACATTTTCCACTGGCAAAAAGAGGAAAGATTATATTAAATTATTTGCTCAGAAAGTTGGTTCAAGGCGTCTTGCTAGACAATTTTTCTTGACAAAATCTATCTTACATTTTTAAGTCTACCATTTGCCAGGCTTTGAATATTGCTACTACATCTGGTTTGGTGTTTCCAGTATGTTTTTAGAGATTCTTGATAAAATCCAAAGAAGAATTTGCAATATTATCAATTTTGATCTGGCATCTCGGCTTCTGTTATTTTCCCACTGGTGTAATGTAGCTTCTCTGTGCATTTCCTATAAATACTTTCACGGTAATTGTTCTGATGAACTTTGCTCTGTGCTGCCTAGACTTTATGAATTAGACTGACAGCAAGGCTATCATTTTCCAATTGAAATGGCTAGATGTAACTGTAAGTTCTTTGCTAACAGTTTCTTCTCTCACATTTCTCGCTTGTAGAACTCCTGCCTCTTGCTTCTCAGCCAACTTTGTTCTTCAAAAATGTAAATGCAATGTGAATTGTTTTAATTTTTAACTTAATTCCAGTTCTTTTATTGCTCTTTTTCCTTAACCATAATAGTGTTTTTTTTCTTCTAATATTCATTCACACTCAGTAACCATTGTGCTTGTGTCTTAGTGGCATTATTGCCTTGCTATGGAGCAAAATGTGTGTGTGTGTCTGTGTTTGCACACGCGTGAACACACACAGTATAATATAATTTTTTATCCCATTATTAATTAAGCCCTAATTTTCTATTAATGATTTTCTTTTAGTATCTCATCTTTCAAACTTGATTTGAATCCAGTTTAGTTCAACATTATTATTATTAGAATTGGTTACTGATATACTAAAATAAAATATTGTTTAAAATAGTAGGTTGCATTTTATGAAGTTTATTTAAATAGAAAGAAGTGTTTTTTGCATATTTTTTAAGGATAAAATTAATCAATATTTGCACTTTAATAAATGATTGTTTTCTAAATCATTATGTTGTAAGATAGGTACAATTTTTCTATTTCTCAAGAACACTTTTCAGCTTCTAGAGCTTGAAAAAAAAATCAAGAATGACTTAATGCATCTTAATATGAAAGTTACAAATGACTTCTCAGGCTGGCAAAATCACTTCCTTTGATCTCTAACTAAAAAAAAAAAAGATGTTTTTGTTTATAAGCATTGAACTTAAGGAAACATTAGTTACAAAAGTAAATATTCATTGTTTATGCAAATGCTCATATCTGCACCATCATCCATTCTTTGTACCCAATATAACCAGATTTTATGTCTATTGCATTGTGTGGAATATTATCTTTCAGATATATGCCACTAACCAAGTGAATAAAAAATAAACATTATAGTTATATATCTATAAGAATTGTTTTTGTTTCTTATTCTTTTCACAAAGTGAGGGATTTTTTTTTCATTTTGATTCTTTTTACTTTGCTCTTGTAGGTGCAGCATTAAAGGTGGTTCGTCCAGAAGCAAATGGGAAGAAAATTAATGAATATTTTAAGGTTTGTTTTTATTTTTCCTTTCCTTCAGTGAATAAGAAATTATTTTTTAAATTTTCTCCTCCATTGTTTTTCAGTAACTAATAACTTTTTAAGCCTGAACTGTGGATGATACTTTGCCTATTTTAAGCCATTTTCAAATGATATTTTAAGCCATTTTCAACTAAATTCTTTTGTTATTATTTGGAAATGGTGCAGTTTTACATTTGTCAATAAATACAATGCTTAAGTAGTTATTGGTCTAGTTTTCTTTTGTTTAAATATGGATGTTAACTTTTTACCATACTAATTATAAACTTAAACCTTTAATTTTATGCTTGATGGATTTTGGTTTTAATTCAAAGTTTTTTGTTTTTTCTTTTAATGATGTTAATCCAACTGTATCCTTATTTAAGGATATATTCATCAATTATTAATTAGAATAATAAATTTTGATTTAGTTATATTAAAAAAGAAAATAGAAAGATACTTCTTTTGTCATACCTTTATAGTTTTTATTATATTGGTAAATTAATAAATACAGTTGTAAAGTAATGAATGCTAAGATTTGAATTTTTTTACCTTGGGTCTTGATAAAAGAAAAATGTCCAGTAGTTGTCCTGATTGTCAGAAAACAAATATCGGCTAATTTCCATGTATAAAGGTTACCTGGTGTCACTTGGATTAAAATAATCCTTGAGCTCATTAACCCTTTTGGTTAGCTTATTTCTCATTGTTTAATTCTACAATGATTAGTTATATGTGGTAACAAAAATTTTTAAGATTTAGATAATTTATTCAAAATATTTTTTAAAAATAAGGAAAGTAAAATAAAATAAAAATTTAGTTACTATATTTTATCAGAAACTATTGGAGTAAAATGCAGAAATATGCTTTTTCTAAAATGAATTGTTATAAATCTCTTATTTTTAAAAATGAGATGAGAAATATAGTTTTCCTTTTAAAAATGTTGTTCTGGAACTGACATTTTTAAAAAAAAATTTTATTTAGAAAATCTCAGTGTTTCTTTCTTAAAGACAAGAAATGTACAATAAAAGTAATGTAAAAATCTGAAAGACTGGGTTTTCAACTTGAAAAGTTGAAATTTTGATTTTATTCATATCAATACAGAAAGTAATGATTTGATTTTTCAAACTTTTTTTATTTTACCAACATCTGATGCACAATTCAGTTTACTTGTTAAATCACAAACGTTTGTTTTTTGTTTTTTTTTTACAAGAGTTCTGAAAATAGGTTTATTTTCTAAGAACCAATTTGCTAGTAATTTATTAATATCATGTTATCATACTCCAAATTTATATAGCTTCCTTAATGTTATTTTACATAAATTTTGATTTATTAAGATTATACAAAGTCTATCATATGATTCATTGAGCATTGGATTCATTATAAATGACCTGGAAGTCAATCACCTTAATAATGAAATTTCCATGAATATTCAAGTCAGCAGTTTTATTGCTACATAATTTTGTTACTTATGTAGTTACAATGTAATGATTCTGTGAAACCAAAGTTTTTTTGTTATCTGACAAATTCTAATTTTTATTTGCTAATGAAAAACAGACCTTTTACATTTTGCATGTCAGTAATTGGTAGATGTATACAGTCATAAACTTATGTTGATAGCAGCAAAATAACATAGCCTAGTGGAAATTCTCCTATTAATAAGATACCTGAGATATGTATAATTACCATGTATGGACATAGTTTCCATTTTCAATATTTGTTATCTAAAAATTCTAATTCTATTAACATCATTGGCTGTGAAAAAAATGAAAAATAATTATATAATAATAATTCAGTCTGTTGAAATTAAGAAATATATCTTTGGAAGAATTTAGATATTCTTTCATCCACTGTATAATATTGTGTGTGTATGTCCTTGTGTTTCTGTCAGTCCCTATGTCTTCATATTCAGTTAAGTAAAATCATTCAGAGAGTTTAACAAACCCTGTAACTATGTTATTTACAGCAATCCACAAACATCTCCAATTTGTTAACCCACCACATTGAAATTATCCTTATTTGTTTTTGTTATATCTTCCCTTAAGCCTTTGTTAATTAACTTAAACTATATGACACATTCTAAATTGTAAATATTTGGACAGAGATGTAGACATTTTTTAAATTATCTTCTTTTTCTAAAACAGTACATGAATTTATACAATTACTGTCACCATATAATGATATAAAAGTTATGATTTAGATAAAAGAAATGTCTAATTATAGATGCATAAATAGTATGTAATCATGATACACCTTGGGAATGTGTCACTGAATTTTTTTTAACAATTAAAGTTGTTGAAATGTGCATTTGAATTAGTTCTGCACAATTTTCTCAGGCATGTTAATAGGAATTAATATAGTGTGACCCAGGTAAACGGCTTGGAAAGAGGTCTATCATGATTATTGCAACTTGATTGATTAAAAAAAAAAGAAGAGAATTGTTTATATGAAACAATTTTTTTCTTTTTTTTAATCAATTTATTCACTTTCTTTACTGAATAATTTTTATTTTATATCTACTATCATTAAGAAAGTCAGCTATCATAAAGATTTCTTTTTGTGTGAATATGATTTTCTCATTTGCAGAAGAATTCATATATTTAATATCTCTTGGGCATCTTTGCAGAAACCTTTTACTGGATTTTTTTCTACACACATACTCACTTTATGATGAGCAAAAATGAATGATTTTTATTTGAACATTACTTTGTTGAGCACCAAAATGGTTTGATCTGATATCCATCATTGTTGACAAAAACAAATAGAATTGGTCTATAAAAAAATTGGTGTCTGTGTCCAGATATCTATAGTAAAATGTCTGATTGAATTTATTTATATATTGTTAGAAATATTTTGTTTTAAAAATCTGTTAAAAGGTTATAAGGAAGATTTGAAAAGAAAAATGCCTCAATGTATTAATCTTAGTATGATCAGTCAGAAAGGCACAGTTGTATACTTTGTAAGTAATGAACTCACTAGAATTGGTTTACAAAACAAGCAAACTAATCATCACTCTTAGTCTTAAGTTTATTTTGGAATCTTAAATATATTGGTCATTAACTTGACCTTTTATAAGGGAGAGCTGAAAAGTTCTCAACCCAGTCCATTTCCTAAAATCTAAGCAAATGACAGATGAAGAAATTTTCACCACTTATTGTAGTTTTCTGTATCCATATACTTCTAGCTAAATTCCTTAAGATTGCTTAGCTGTTTCTAAAACTCCTATTTTCTTATTTAGAAAACTTAAAACACACATTGTTTAGTTGGAATTTACTTATAAAAAATGTATTATAGCACATGCCCACATTGAAGTTTTGAATTGATGGTCAATAGATGTTGAGGCCAACTCTTTTCAGTAAGCATATGTCTTTCATCATAATTTGGTCCTGATGTATCAGAAATTCAGGTCCATTGATTTTTATGCAGATAATTAAAATAGTAATGTCAGATATTACAATAAAAGTAATTAGTAGTATCAACTGTTAAAAGTAGTGAAGTTGAAAGTATTATTCATCTATCATCCTATTTTATGGATAGAAATACAGTAGCTCTCTTCAGCCAATGGTTATTTTTAGCTGAAGGAGATACTGAAAAGGGACTGAAATGCCGGTGATAGTAACCTCTTGTGATATCAGTTATTTGATGCTGCTGGGTGGGAAGCATGCAACTGTTGAATAATTCTTGGTTAAAAAAATAAATTAGGTTTGCAGGTTTATGTTAATTCATTTTTCCCATTTAGGATCTGATCAATAAAAAATGTCAGTAAAAAATTATATTTCAGTTTACTAGTTCAGTATTTTATTTATATTTTTGCCTCGGCATGTAAAAATCCTCCTCACCAAACAAAAGAATGATCACTTTTTTAGCTATTTCCATATTAAATGGAAACAAATTATTTGATAAAAGCATTGTTCTCTTACTATCTTTGCTAGACTTATAAATTCGAGTCAGGACTAGGATGACAAAAACCATTTTAGAATTCTAGGAATTATTTAAAAAAAAAATAACAATATAAAAAGAAAGTGTATTTCTGAAGAATTTGTAGTTGAATATCTCATGTTAGTCACTCAAAAATAAAATGCTTATTTACTAAAAAGACCATTCATCAAATATCAATGGGCTACCTGCTACCATAACACTTTTCGCCAACCATTTCACTGATTTCCGTTGCCCGCCTCCTCTACTTGCCCGGCACCCAACCTGTTCCCATCTATTGCTCACTCTGCCCTGGTCTTTTCGTAAATCATTTCACGCCCCCTTGGCTATTTCGAGTGAAAATAGCCTTCTTTTTAATAATTTGATGTTCTTGTAATGTAGCAGTTTGGAGACACTGTCCCTTCTCCGCTTCGCCCCCACGTGTGTCAAACTGCTAGGCTCATGTTCAACAACTGACCCGTCGGCAGATTGCTAACATGCTGTTTGATCATCACGTTATTGCTGTGACTGTGACTGGCCATTTTCTAAAAGGAGAAGGAGGACAGAATTTATAGACTGAGGAGTCATTCCCCGCCTGCAACTGACAATTCTTTTTAAGATTATTGCACAAGTAGCTGTCACTAACAACTACTAGTAGTAATATTTTAATCTCGCTGCGTTTAACAACAAACTTGTTGCGTACTTGTTTTGTTTATTTTATTTATATATATATATATATATATATATATATATATATATATATATTCATTCTCCCTCTCACTCCACCATCTCTTTTCTTATTGTTCGTTAACTTAACTGATTATCTAGTAGTTTTTTAACCATACACAATAACAATGTGTAATGTTTGCACAATAAACCAGCTGTGGGTTAGGTTAAACGAGAGACCAATCTGTTTTCGATAAAGAGATGGAGCTGTTAATTTACATTGCAGTCATTTGAAGGAAATTTTTTAAAATTTCTGAGCGAACTAAACTACGAAATTATCAATTTAACAAAGAAAGTATAATGATAAAAAAAGTTGATAGTTTTCCTTTTGGTGTGTTTTTTTTACTTTGTCACTT